AAGTTATTAATAAAATACAAAGGTTAATCAATTGCTTTTCAGATGAATACACTATACCAATAATCTGTTATGGAAGGAAGTGTGCAACCTTTTTCTTAAAAAGCACTAATAACCAAATAGAATACTTTAGTGACTATGGATCTTCCTGCTGCCACTGAAAATGGTTTTGCGTGCCCATAATGGCGCATGTACCCTGGATTACTGACCATGGTTCTAAGATATCATTTTATTACATGTTATTGAACCCACCATGCATCAAACACAGGCCTTATGGCAATGCAGCTCTTCTTAGAGGATTTCCTTATTATCATTTATTTAGCAATGTTTGTTATTTGTTGTGTGTTCCCCCCGGAGTATGGTGTATGCATTCCCAGTCCCAGTCTCTTGTTAATCAAGGAGTAACAATTATCGGAAGCGCAGACACTCACAATGAACTCTCTGTGGAGAGGACTGTTTTTTATAAATATAGTTTAGTAGAATTTCAGGGAAAGCCGCTCTGTGGGAGGTGAGCAGAGTATGCTTGCGGAGAGCTCCAGGATATCAGGATAAGCGTCTCCCTTCTGTCCCATTGCCTGTTATATTCACAACATTGTCAGTGAGATTTGTTGATTGTGCTTTCACTTTACATAAGCGGATGTTTGACTACGTGTTATTCTGGTATCATTTAAAATGTAACAAACTAAATGTTTTCTGAGTAAAAAAAAAAAATACCAATAGAAAATGTAAACTGTTAATCTCCTTCATAAATGATTGTTACCTGTACGTCACATTGATTTCCTGAATTCAACACGTAACTGGGAACAAGTACACGGTCATACCGGTTGTGGGTCTGAGATACAGAAAGCATAGAGGCCAGAGGTTTGTTAATGAGCTTCTTAATGCATTATTATACATTTATATAGCTCTGACATATACCGCAGTGCTGTACAGAGAACACTGAGCCAGCCCCATCAGTCTCTGTACAGAGGAGCTTACACTCTAATGCCCCCCCCACAGTCACACAATATTATTATACATTTATATAGCTCTGACATATACCGCAGTGCTGTACAGAGAACACTGAGCCAGTCACATCAGTCTCTGTACAGAGGAGCTTACACTCTAATGTCCCCCTGCAGTCACACACTATTATAATACATTGATATGGCTCTGACATATACCACAGTGCTGTACAGAGAAAACTGAGTCAGTCACCTCATTCTCTGTACCAGAGGAGCTTACACTCTATTGTACCCACCACAGATTATTATTATTATTATTATTATGCAGTGTGGTGCAATGGTGTGCTTTTAATATCTGCCTACATTTAAGGGCCACATCTCAGTATTCCTGTTTTGGATTATAGGTCAGGATGTCTCTGTACAAGGATATATGTTATTCTATTCTGTTTAGTTCTGTGATATTTTACTAGAGGGATCACAAGAAGGAGGAAGGAGGTCCTGATTTGTCTGTATAGATCTTTAGTTATACATGATTTAGAATACAATGTCTAGTTCTGGAGGTCTCACTCAGAATGAGTCCAGAGATGGTTAACAAAAATGTTGAAAGGTCTGAGGGATAAAACATATCAGAAAAGACTAGAGGAACTTAATATGTCCAGTCTAAAGAAAGGAAGGGAAAGAGGGGACATGGTGGAAACATTTAAATACCTGAAGGGTGTGGACAAAGTTCGAGAGGGCAGTATTTTTTTTTTTTTTAATAACAATTTTTTATTATTTCAAATAGCATATACAAAATATCTGATAACAAAAAATATATATGACAATGTACATTTCTATAGGAAAGTAGAACATCCATTCAGCGCGATGCACTTTCGAAGAAAGCATTATATCTCGTAGAGATGTATACACATCTTAAGTATTTGTAGTTTCCAAAAATCCGTTGCCAATTGTTAGTATTGTGTATGCTATGATCTTATCAAACATGTCCAAGCACATATATATATATAGTGATATTGGGGAGCTCACAGAGCACTCGCACAGGCTTTTCCATTAACAAAACGTCTTTATTTTCTGTTCAAAAGGCAGACAGTAAAGGAAGTCCAACATTAATAGCTTGCTGCAGCATATAACAGATATGGGCTCACCAATGCTCACAGTGTCCCAGTCCTGTAACACTTTAAACGTTTCTCTTGCAGGCTGCTCCGGCCTCAATCCTCCAAGCCACTGTCTGTTACCCCCAGACAACTCCCAGTAACGTGCCAACCCGCACAATAGGCTGCACAAACCTGCAGCTAACTGCTGCACTGGATTCTGACTCCTAGGTGGAGTTCTCCTGACTCACCGGTGGGGCCCTGAACATGAGCCAGCATTCTTCTCATAAGGGCTGTGCCCAGGTGCACAATATTTCAGGGCTGGTTACCCCTAAAGCCTGGACCCAGGAATGGAGATTTCATCCCTCCCAATGCTCTTTGAAATCTCCCAGTTCCAGGAACCCGTGCCAAATCCGTAACAACTGCAAAGCCAGCTCTTCCCAGTAAACGTTTGCACTTTCTGGAACTGCTCAGCCCCCCCTGGCTGAGAGACCTGGGTGACTATATATATATATATTGTGGCACGCACTGCCACAATA